CAATCTCCCTCGGTCTGGGGCGCCATGCAAGATCTCACCTCGTGGAGCATCAATGATCATGAGAAAGGTGAGAAATGAGCCCAGAACTACACGGCAGGACCTGGTCAATGACCTGAATAGAGCTGGGACCACAGTCTCAAAGAAAACCATCAGTAACGCACTACGCCGTCAAGGATTAAAATCCTGCAGTGCACGCAAGGTGCCCTTGCTCAAGCCAAAGCATGTCCAGGCCCGTCTGAAATTTGCAAATGACCATCTGGATGATCCAGAGGAGGAATGGGAGAAGGTCATGTGGTCTGATGAGACAAAAATAGAACTTTTTGGTTTAAACTCCACTCGTCGGGTTTGGAGGAAGAAGAATGATGAGTACAACCCCAAGAACACCATCCCAACCGTGAAGCATGGGGGTGGAAACATCATTCTTTGGGGATGCTTTTCTGCAAAGGGGACAGGGCGACTGCACCGTGTTGAGGGAAGGATGGATGGGGCCATGTATCGTGAGATCTTGGCCAACAACCTCCTCCCCTCAGTAAGAGCACTGAAGATGGGTCGTGGCCATGGACGTCGGAACTATTTTCTGAGAGGGGGGGCGGGTTTTTGTTGGGAGAGTCGAGGGAGAGACTCATACTTGGATTACACTGGATAATAACATACCATCTTAATTGTTAAGAAAAACAAAAAAATAAACAATATATATCAAGCAAGTCACTTATCAAACTGAACTTTTTTTTTTTTCAATACGCATTCATGCGTCAGTCTCTCCGGTGGCTTCATTGTGTTGTGTAGCCCAGTGACGTGCGGTCAGATGAGGCAGGTAAGGCCCTCACCTAAGATCATAGAAAGAAAAGTAATATAATGGATACAATAACGTTTGGTCACTTTATCAAGTGATTTGTGCTGTGCCTTATTTAATTTATTTATACCTTGAAATCGCAGATTTGACAGAGCGGCGCTGTGAGGCAAGCCTCTCTTGGGAGACGTAAAAAGCAACAGCTCACAGGGAGAGTCCTGTGAGGTGCTATCAAACTGTTTTCTCTGTTTATCACAGTTTAAAAAGTTCAAAAATATTTAATTTACAATCAACATGTTTACATTTAAGAGGATGGCTCATAAATTGTGTTTTTGAAGCAAATACGGGTCTTAATCGCGCTCAACCACAGCTTGTAAGTGAGGAAAGCCTCAAGTGGGCGCTTGTGAGCCCAAACGTTGGCTGCATCCAATTCCATCAGAAAGCTCCTTTCTTGTTCTTTTCTGCTAAGGGCAGCTACAGGTTTGGCTAACATACCTATAATACATTTTAAGATAATTTAAAATGCACTTAGAGTAATGTTTTGCTTCCAATGATGATATGAATCATAAGAAAAGGAGGTGAAGGGTAAGGTTGAATTTAGAAATTGGATTTACCCGGGAGTCGGCTGCAGCAAAACTCGCAGTTTACGGAGGAGACACCCGTTTTTTTTTACTTTTTAAAACTCATTGAACTTATTTCCAAATGGAGGATTACATGTCTGTGCTCAAACTATTATCTGGACTTAAACATGAAACTGGTCCTAACTGAAGTGGTCTGTGCTGTTCATTAATACCTAAGGTATAGGCCCATAACACACTTTTTACTTTTTACAAACGTTTGCGTTTTTTATGAGAAAACTATGCAGACATTAAATCATATTCTGCTGTAGCCAAACAAATTGTGTATAAGCCGCTCCTGTTCCTGTAGGTCCTGTTGGTTTATATGATGTATAATCATATGAACACATGATTGATCCCCCACCGCACGTCACTGGTGTAGCCAGGTCTCTATTTTTTATTTTTTTATTTATACTTTATTAAGGACTCACATGCAAGCACAGGATCCATAGCTAAGAATAATTAAAGAAAAGTTTTAAAAATAACAGAACAGAGTTAAAACACACATAGTAATCACATATTCACATATTTAGACCAAGTCACACATACAGAGAAGCACGCCAGTGACTCCAGAGCAAAGAAGTGAACCTGACTGAGCTAATGTAAGGACAAACCAGTGACTGTACAATAGCATTAGGCACCCTCACAACTCTACACATAAACCGATAGTAGCAGTGACGTAGGGCAGCAGGAAAGGAGCGCACCCTGCACTCAGCAAACATCTGACTCGCACTACTGTGTCTGGGGATCTTCAACAGCATCCTCATCGAGTCATTATAGGCAACAGTTAACTTCTGCAAACTGGCCTGCTTATAGCTCCGCCATAGTTGGGCTGTGTATAAGGGAGCACAAAAAGATTGGAACAGGGAGGTTTTAACATTCACAGAGCACATGTTAAACTTTCTGACCAGCATGTTGGATTGGCCATACAGTTTACATCTCTGTCTGTGTATATCCCGGTCGTCTGTGAGGTCACTGCATATGTAATGGCCAATGTAATGTAATGTAATCTCTAATCTGCGCAAGGCTGAGAAAGAGCGCTCAGAGGCTGAGACAGATATTAGCCAGACAGAGCTTCATAAGCACCTCCGACAGCATGGAGCGGGTTTTGGGCTGCAAGGAACGCAGGATAGTGATAACTTCTCGCTCCCGGCACACGCGGAGGGGGTGCGGCCGCACCCCCCGCACCCCTAGTTCCGACGTCTATGGTCGTGGCTGGGTCTTCCAGCATGACAACGACCCAAAACACACAGCCAGGGCAACCAAGGAGTGGCTCCGTAAGAAACATCTCAAGGTCCTGGAGTGGCCTAGCCAGTCTCCAGACCTGAATCCAATTGAAAATCTTTGGAGGGAGCTTAAAGTCCGTGTGGCCCAGCGACAGCCTCGAAACCTGAAGGCTCTAGAGGTGATCTGTTTGGAGGAGTGGGCCAAAATCCCTACTGCAGTGTGTGCAAACCTGGTCAAGAACTACAGGAAACGTCTGATCTCTGTAATTGCAAACAAAGGTTTCAGCACCAAATATTAAGTTCTGTTTTTCTGATGTATCAAATACTTATTTCATGCAATAAAATGAAAATTAATTATTCAAAAATCATCTATTGGGATTTTCTGGATTTTTGTTTTATATTCCATCACTCACAGTTGAAGAGTACCTATGATAGAAATTACAGACTTCTACATGCTTTGCAAATGGGAGAATCTGAAAAATCAGCAGTGTATCAAATACTTGTTCTCCCCACTGTATGAGTACACGCGCCATACATATTGAAGTCATTGAGTCAATGGACACATCGTCATTCATAAATGCACTCCGCCGCTTCTTTGCCATCAGGGGAGCCGCCAAACTACTGAGATCAGATTGTGGAACTAATTTTGTAAGCGCCTGTAAAGAACTACAGATTAACAAACAGGGTTGCCACAGCAACAAAATCTCCAACTTTCTCCAGGACACAGGCTGTAGGTGGCACTTTAATCCACCACATGCGTCTCATATGGCAGGCTCTTGGGAGCGGATGATAGGAGTCACACGCAAAATCCTGGATGCCATGCTCTTGAACGACAAAGATGGAAAACTAACACACGAAACAATAGTGACTTTATTGGCTGAAGTGACTGCTATTGTAAATGCGCGACCACTCACAACAGTGTCCACAGATCCGGAAAACCCATCCATTCTTACCCCTGCAATGTTGCTCACGCAAAAGGTTGGCGCTCCACCAGTACCACCAGGTCAGTTTGATAGCTGTGACTTGTTTCGAGCGCAGTGGGGACGTGTACAACACCTGGCCAACATCTTCTGGAGCCGATGGAAATCTGAGTACATCTCAGGGCTTCAGCACCGCCGCAAGTGGAAAGCAGTTACCCCCAACTTGCAAACAGGAGATGTTGTTCTGCTTAAAGAATCTCTTGAACACAGAAATGACTGGCCACTTGGACTGATATCAAAGACATTTCCCAGCGCTGATGGTCACGTTAGAAAAGTAGAGGTTAAAACTTTCCGTAAGGGTGAACACAGATACTATGTCCGACCCATAGGCGAGGTTGTTCTGTTAGTGTCTAAGGATAAGGCTTAGATAAATCTTTCTTTGCCATTTGTATTTCCTTTATTTTGCTACATTTTATTTTATAGTATGCAGAACAGTTTAAGTGTGACATCCCAAAGATGCCAGACGGAGAGTATTCTGTCCCTCATAGTTTGATATGTTTCCCTAAGCAGAATTATTTTATAAAAAGCTGATGTAATTCCTTGTTTAACCATGGGAGTTTGCTATTTGGTTGCCATCTTTCTCTGTTTTATTTCAACTGCGTCTTGCGTTTTGTTTGTGGTGGAGCCACCTATGGGTGAATAGATGTAAGCAGCAGGCAGAGTCCTCCATTTTGAGTCCAGCACAAGAGGAGTTCACCCGTGAACCGCTCCTCTATGTGCCCTTTTACCACCCGTTTTTTCTGCTGTATCTTTGGCAAGACATAATCTGTGAGTGTTTTGAATGTTACAGAGCCTTTCAGTTGTGTAGAATCAACATGTATTTAGTTTGTTTACAATTCGTTTTTCCTGTGAGCCAGCTATGCTAATTTGCTATCAATGCTAGTGGTGTTAATTACAGTATATGTTACTAATGTGTGTAAGACACATCTTTTTCTTTTGATTTTTGTACTAATACATGTTTTGTACAGTTTTACAAAATAATAATAAGAAATGGAGAGACCACAGTTCTCCTGCGTCCCATTTATTTTTGTGTTAAGCTCGCTGATAAGGTTGAGTTAGTGAAACACTCAACTGAAACCAGAAGAAAACCAATGCAAAAAACATTTAGTGTACAATTAGAAAACATTGAGTTTTGGTTTGAAACTTAGGTACCTCAGCTTTAATGTTTTCAAGTTGGCCATAATGAGGTTTAGTGCATGTATTTGTGTTACTGTGTTACAAAAGTTAGGTACAAAGATTACATTGTAATCTGTAGGCACAAGGAACTATGTATTTTATTACTATACATAGTTCTATTATTTTAGCAAGACAATTATTGTAAGGAAGTTAGGTGCCCCAGCTTTAAACATGTACATTTTCTTTTAATCAGACAAATTGAACAAAAAGACTAAAAAGAACTCTCCGCACTGGTTGGGGACGCCCTTTGGGCCAGAGTCCGAAAGTCATAAACATGTTTTATTCTATTGCCGTCTGAAGAAACACCCAGTGCTGAAATGTCATCAGCAGGATGGACCAGTGTGTACAATGGAAAGGCCTGCAGTGGGATTTCAGAGCTGTGAGATTTGAGAGAGCTGATCCCTGCTCCGGGCACGACAAACAAATTCACCGGCTCACTGGACAGCTCCAGGTAGGACGCAGCGGGTTGCCTCATGTCTCCATGGAAACACAGAACAGGACCGGGGCGAGACTTGGGGCAATTACAGGTCTGCAAGGCCGAGTGGGCCAATTTATTGAAAAGCTGGTCCGAAGGGGGCATCCAGTGTCTGTGCATTGGGGGTGAACGGTCATAATCACTATGATCACTATGCATTTGACTGTATCCCAAAGAAAAACTACATATTTGGCTCTGGCTGAATATATTATGGCACTAAAGCAGAATTAAATTAAAGCATATTGAAAGCATCTAACTCTAAACAAAAATTCAGATATTTCCTCGCTTTATGCTAGTTTGGTTCCACGTATATTTTTTTGTCCTATAAGTATTTTTAACCACCGTCACATCTTTACATCAGAATTTTCCGTTATGAAAGAGAAAAAGGGAGAATCGACCCTAACAAGTATACAAAAGATACACTGAAAAAAGAAAGTGTTGCAAACTTTCTAATAGGATGAAGGCAGCATGTTGTGGTCTGATTTGTTTCGTTTTTTTATTTCACAAGATTCTGTTGAGACAAACAAAATTGCAGCTTTAAGCAAGAGCAATATCGACTATGTTCAATTATCACACAAAACCTTTCATCCTGTCCCCTAGAGATAACCATAGCTTCTTGTAAGCTATCCGTGAACATTACGGACGGTTTTAAAGTCTTTTTTGGTAACATGACTTTCATTCCTCAGCTTTCGAGGTAAGGAACATTATGTTGCTCTATGCTCTCTCCAGGGCATAGAACATAGATTTAGTAATATGCATGCTGTATTGAAATGCATTCAGAAGCCTCAAAATCACTATGCATTTCATTATAAATGCATTAGAAGACCTCTTAGGCGGCACATATTGAAAGCATCCCAACATTTAGCACCTATTACCCCCTCATGCTCCTTTTCTATTCTTTAGCATTTCTACATTCAGCTTCTTAAGATGTGCACTTCCTTCCTCTCCTGGCTAGAAGCTGAAAAATTGTCTATGCATATGACTGCAGGCTACATTTTAATTAGCAATTGGACTCCCTTATTTTAACTCTCTGACGTTTCCTTAATGAATGGACAATCAAGGCTTAATTAACAACGACACAGAGACAATGGCAGAGTTTAGGTTAAAATAAATGTGTTTACTCGGGGATGACCTGCGCATTCTGTCATGGGAGTGGAAACAGTAAAGCAGATTTAACCTCCTTACAACAGGTCTATGTTGGTTTAATACGGTTTTAATCTTAATTATACACATTTAATTAAATATGGTACCTTTTTTAAAGAACTAGTGAAAATCAAATTCCCCACCTTCTCCAATTTAATGTGATTGATAAAGATTCATGTAAACCTGGGCTCACTACTTAAGGCGTGACAAAACAGTCTGTAGTGCTGCTGGTGCCTGCTGATTCTAATGTGGTTGAGCCATATGTATACTCACATACAAGTCAATACATTTGAGCTTATATGAGTTTAAAAGTTTATACAAGAAACTTATTTATTTGGACGACTGATTATCTTCAAGATTGATACATAGGGAAGGCAAGTTTATTTGTAAAGCACAGTTCATACCCATACATAAAAAAAGGTGAAGATAAAATCCTTTAGTTGTATGCAGAGCTAAACAGAAGTGTTTTTTAACCTGGATTTGAACATTATCAGAGTAGAAACCTGTCTCACTTTTTCAGGAAGACTGTCCCAGATTTTAGCTGCAAAAATCTGAAAAGCTGCTTCCCCGTGCTTAGTTCTGACTCTGACTCTGGGCACCAGCAGGAGACCAGTCCCTGTGCTCCTCAGAGTCTGAGTGGGTTCATATGGCACTAACATGTCTCGGTTGTACTGTACGGAGCCATGGAGAGACTTGTACGTAGTTCCTCGCTGCACCCGTTTTGCTGTTTGATTATGTGAAGCAAAAACAAAAAAAGAATCATGGGGCTTTTAAAAGTAATGCATAAAATCAAAATCTAATCAAACATAATATTGTGTGATTATATTTTCCGGTCATGTGCTTATAACGTATGTATAATTATAATTTTATTCACAATTACTGCTATAAAGTTTGAGTAAGAAGAAGAAGTCACAAGAATTCTTTGAAAGCTTCCTCAGGTCTGGAGATTTGAGGGTTTCTCTGCAGAGTGCACAGAGACGGGACCAAAACTCGTCAGACCTGTTTGATAATTCCACCAAATTGAGAGCTGTTTTAGAGTGCGCTACGTATTATTATGCTTTGTAAACGCACTCACTGGCCCCGTTCATTCTTTGTTTTCTCACATTTCATTTTGAACACAGGTATATCAGCAGACTTACCGATATTACATCAGTGTTTATTGGACTCGTCTCCACAACGTTGGCAAAGTACGGCTCATCTGGCCACTTGGGAGCGTTGTCATTTATGTCCAGAACTGTGATATTGACCTGTGCAAAGAGAAGTGTATTATACATTCATTTCAAGTATTTGCATTCATACTTTCAAACCATTTTCACCTACTATACATATAGTGACAAATAATGTAAAATCAGCTTTTAAATACATGCTTTTTCTTATTCATCACAAAAGTATTATACAATATTTTTTGAGAAAATAAAATAAAATCCAAAATGCAGGACTGCAAATAATGATTAATCAAATAAAACAAAATCCGGTAAAACTAGGTAAACTAAATACTAAAATAAAATAAATCTACACCATGTCACAAATGGGAACAAAACTAAATCTATTTGAAAAGTACAGTTACAGTGTAAAAGGGATATGATCTCCACAGTTTTTAATGCCAGCAAACATGTCTCTTTGAATACACAATTTTAGTGCAATCAATTATTTTAAGAATGTGATATTTTCATTTTAGATTACACATAGATCTTTCTAAATGTTGTCAACAGGTACATATATAAGATTGGCCTTTTCTGAACAACAGTTTAAACGTATTCTTAATTGAAAAAACAATGGACTGTAATGATTCTATTGACATTATTAGATCACTAATTGTGCATATTACATACGACCCCTTTAAATTATTATCATATAGCAGAGTTAAACAGTTATGAAGTATAACTAACAATCTTCCTTCACTTCATCAGTAATTAAAATAAATATGGATGCCGTATTAATATAACACATTCTCAGCATATAGTTTAGTTTGTTATTTGTTTAAGATTTACTTTTTGGAGGGTCGTTTACATTTCTATTGAAGCTGAGTCATTAGCGGAGAGATGCTAATTACACCCGACTGGCCAAACACTGAGGTTTTACTGATGAGAGGCTGTTACCGTGGCGATGCCTGTTTTCTGCTGAGGTCCAACTCCTCCGTCCACCGCACGAACAATCAGGATATACTCCGCCTTTAGCTCCCGGTCCAGGAGGGCGGTGGTTGTGATCTCACCTAGATAATAAGTCAATACAATACATTATTCCATTTATTCAACATAAAGTAAACTGCTTCCAATTAGTGTCACTTTGAGGAAACACAAAGTGACACGTTTTCCAGCTTGAATGCTCTGTATCTACCGTAATATAATTTCAATATACATATTTCTTTTATTTTTCAATGTATACAGATTTCTCTCTTGTAACTTCTTCCACCCAAAAACACTTCACAAAGCATTCATTCACTCCATACACAGTGATGGTGAACTGCCACTGAAGCCACAGTTGCCCATGGGCAGACTTCGGGGCAACCAGTATGTGTCATCGGCTCCTCTGACCACCACCATCATTCAATGTGTTCAATTGTTTATCTCCAAATACAATCCTATACATTGAAAAAAATGTAATCATCATGTATGAATACTACCAGTTTGGAACAATTAGACCTGTCACAATATTTACTATAATAATTTATCGCTCAATAACTAACAAATGGACCAATATGTTTTGTGGTGCAATGATTATCATATGTAAATTTTTTGCCGTAGTGAAATAAAAGAGAATAATCATTCAGCAAGGTATTAAACTGCGTGTGTACGGTAAAACAGCATGTTCAGTGTTCCTGGTTCAGTGTTGCTAATGGCTTTCGCACACACGCAAACCTAAAATAATTTAAATATTCTTGTTTATTGCCCCACATTTCTATATCAGTCTATCGCTCATCAAATGTGTGTTATCAGCCTCGGAAGAATGTGACCAAAATCTCTCCAGTGGTGAAAGCGATAAATTGAAAGTGCTCTTGGCCAGTGCATTTCCATAGCCGCAGCCGCAGACCTGAGCGAGAGTTGAGACGGAACTGAGTGGAGCCCTCCAGGGAGTAGATGAGTGAGGCCTGTCCGAACTCCCTCGAGGCGTCCAAATCAGTCGCATTCACCAGCAGCACAGTGGCCCCTGAGTGAGAGGGAGGCACGCAGTTACTTCTATGTGTGAGAAGAAATACAGAGGCTGCAAAGTTATGGTTAGAGTGTGAAAAAAACACAAAAACTCGTAGGTTGGTTTGTCGTCATTTCAGATAAAGAAAAAAAAATACAAAATTAAAACTAAAACTAATCCTTGCAGTTCATTATTTCATTTTTCATGAGTATTGTACAAGATTAAGAAAGAGCAAAGTTTTTTTCCCCTTCTTTCTGCTGCTTTCCATTGGTGTGGCTAGACATTCAATTCAATTATAATATTATTACTGGCCACAATAGATATCAATATTTCAAATAAGAAACATATATGATGGCTAAATAATTAACAAACATATACTTATTTACTTTTGATGTGGGCTCTATGTAAATATTGACTCATACTTGTATCTCTAAAAATCTGACTAACACTTTCCTGTCTGACTTTTCTTTCTTCTTTCTTCCATGGAATGATGCATTTTACGTACTGCTTGTTACATGATGCATATTAGTCGTACCTCATGAGTACACATAATTATTATCTCTTTAAACGTGCCACATTATTCCTATCAAGCATTTTTATGTCCTTTTTATACAATAATGCAAGGCAAGGCAAGTTTATATGTATAGCACAATTCATACACAAGGCATCTCAAAGTGCTGAACAAAACAAGATACCATTAAAATATAATAAATAATCACAATCAAAAAGAAAGTATATCAAAAATATAAAATCCCTCAGTTGTAGAAGATATATAAGATAAATAATCTATAAATCCCTTAACACCAATCACATCTTTGGAGTGTATAATTTGACCATGTTCTATACAAAGATTAATGCCTTATAACATAGAAAAAAAATCTGCAAGTTTCTATTAAATATTTGCTTTTATACTCATTTCATTGGACAGGGCTATTCAACTTAATTTTCAAAAGGGACATTGTTTTGGGGCCCATATGCTCTGGGCCAGATCATTTCACACTACCTTATTAAAAACAGTTTGGTATTGCTCAAAATGAATACTCGACTCATACCAATTGGATGTTAACACAACTAATTCAGGATCAAACGAGTTCTAGTCCAAGCTGATAAAGACCCAGGACTAAAGCAGAATAAAACAATAAATGTGTGATGCACAGCTGTCATTTATATGTACCAGTGTTGTAATTATTATCTAATACTTGCACTAATGTATTTCTGGTTAGATGACATTTCATTGCATTATACAGAACATCTGTGATGGCAATAAAGTAATAATTCTTTGGATATTTATGATAGCAATGTCCAAAATGTTGAATTTTTTCCTTTGTTGTATACTAAAGAGACAGATAGCATGGAGCCATGTCACAAACTAAAATGTATCAGGCTAATTTCTCCTCCGCCCCCGTCCACTGCGGCTCTGATGGCATGGCAGTGAGTGGGTTTACGGATTAGTGGATTATCAGCTTGTTTGGCACATCCTCTTCTTGGCACAGAGCTGATCAATATCCAAGCAGGCATAGGGAGCGAAAGAGATGACAGGCTAAAGAGAGCAGCAAAGGGGACTCGCCCGGAGCTGAGCTCTGCAGCCCGGATCTCTCCGTCCCTACAGTCTTCTTCTAACACCACGCAACGGTCCAAACCGCTCAGTACGAGACATTTGAAGCGGCCAGTTATGTCGGATCTCCAAAAGGAACAGGGCGGTCAATATGTAATTTTCCTCCGGAGCCTTGAAATTAATCTATTGTTTGGGATAAAAGAGTTTCTGAATCCGCAAGAATGAATATAACTGGCATTTTTTAGCTTTGTAGCTGCTGGATCTGCATTCGGGGGCTTAGCAGTTAAAAACATTATGCAAAACCAAAACAAGTCGGGCAGTAGGCAGGAATAATATAGAGTAACAACCCCCTAAGAAGCCATTTCTTTTTGTTGGAAAATACAAAGAGTGATTTATGAGCACCACAATGAGTTTGGAGTGTACATAAATTGCAGGTTTCTTGTTCAAAATGCAATTCACAAACTTAACCATAACCTTGCAATGAATAAAATGACTCACCTGCATTGATGTTCTCGAGGATTCGCACAATGTAGGACGGTTCGCTGAAGGTAGGTGGATTGTCATTTTCATCCTAAATGTAAAATAAACACTGAGTTATTTTGCTCAGCCTTAAGTGTTATGCAAATGCTTTAAGATAATGGTCTCTTATGGTGCTACACAGTTAGATTTACACATTTAAGGCTGCGTTTCTCTTCTATGCTTTGGGAGAAATAACACACATTGCTGACTTGTACATAGTGTGTACAGTTTACACTACGGTAAGAATAAATTGTCCAGACTTTTTATGATCATTAAAGCTGGGGTACGCAACTTTGTTCTGCCATAAATAATGCCTTATGTTTGTCCCAACAGAAAGAGTCTTGTAAAAGTGAAGTTGTGAACAAATCAGACAACAACATACTGTCTTTATATTATTAGATAAACATATTTGTCTTTTGCAAACAAAGAGCCCTGTGAGTCACTATTTGACCCTTTGGGCTGAGAGCTGATTGGCTGAGTGTGGGACACTTTTTTTTTTACTTTTCTGTCTGAAATATCTGACAGAGGCCTAATATTACATACATGTGAAAACTAGTGAAAGAATCACATCGAGAGCGAGCTTTAAGCAATGAAGACAGCTTTTTTCTTTATTAACCAATTAACCAAGCAAAAGTACATTTGTGGACCGCTACTGACTTGAGGGAAAAGTTTATGTAATCTCTCATTCATCCAGAGAGCCCCATGACAGAAAGAGTAAAAATCTGGCAGTCTCTAAAAGTGGTTTTGACTCAAATTTATTCTCAGTTGAGCGGAATGGATTGAACAGGTGGAATTTATCCTCTCCGACCTCATATAGCCCGGCTAAACAGTGAATAGCAAACCAAAATAGTGTTGTTTGTGACAGTATAGTATGAGTTTTTTTTTCAACTTTGATTCCTGGATCTACAATACCATTACTTAAAACTGTGAATTGGAATCTCATGAATGAAGCTGTGGCATACATTGTCATAAAATTGCTCAAATGTGAATACAGTTTCTATGATGGGCTTTTGTGTTGTCATATGCAAGAAAAATTCTATTTGGGGCAATAAAGGTTTAATGTTCAAGTTGTATTAGCACTTTTGAAAGCCATTGGTTTCACTACGCAACAAGCTATAAAAGGGCTGCATTCAATTACAGCATCATACATTTTAAAGCACGCTTTTGCGTCAGCTCTTGGCGGTCACTTGTCTTGTGCTGTTCACTGAGTCTGATCCCCACTGGGCGCAGCGCTGTGACACGTTACCACTTAAACAGCAGTCAGTGTCTATTATCTCTGCGAGTTTTACACTGGTGCAAAGCTTTTGTGTCTCTGTAACACTGTTGGCGACTGATAAACCCCTGCGGAGCGACTTATAACAATATGGAGGACAGCGAAGACGGCACGTCTCCCTCTCGGCCTCCGCGCTTCAGCATACAACTCATTCTTCTACACAATATTGCTCCCTACAGTGGGATGCAGATAGATATATATGAGACCAAAATACCCCGCCAGGACGCATTCATTGTGCGTTGTGCTGCGTCTCGCTGATGAATGGTGGGCTAGAAGTATAATGGGCAGATAACAGGGGACATAGGTCTGCCGTTTTTGTAATCTGGCTGCTCATTACGCTCTTGTTTTTGTTGTGTTTGTGTGAACACAAGAAAGATCAAATCATCAGTGGTGATTAAAATTATTTGTTAAACCGGGAACATTTTTCAAAATGTGCAGGTTAAAGTAGGCAACGTCAGTCAAGGGTCTGCGTTTTGCTCTGGTTCACCTGTAACTGGGGACTGCAGATGGAAACTACCTATAATCTGATGTAGAACAAATGTCTGTCTTTGTGCTTAATGTTGCTGTGCACTGTTCGTCTCAAATGAAGACTTAACTAAACTCAACTAAATTAAACTAAACCTACATTTGGCCTGAAATGCTACGCAGTAGGGCTGTAATTAACAATATTCTTCATAACCGATTGGCTGATTATTAGTTTTTGATGACTCAATTAGTTGTTTAGATTTTGAAAAATCAGTGAATACAGCATTTTTGATACATATTTTTCTATAAAGAAGTTGACCTCAAGAGATGCCCTTGGAAATTCCTAATAATTCCACCTTCTTTGTAAATAGATGGATGGATACACATAGATACTGTATATAGTTTGGTGGGTGTTTTAGAGTCTGTACTCATTTAGAACATTTAAAAGCCATTGGTTACAGGCTACAGTTTTATTAAGGTGACTATAGACTCATTATAGCTCTATTTGATATATAGTTTTTACATCTAATATTATTATTCAATCTATAACAGGAAAGAAAATACCAATCGACAGAAGCATTTTCAATCTACAGTATTGAGTATTTCTATAGACAAGCATTATTTCAAAGGACCAAACACCAGGCTGATCTCAATGGTCTATAGAAAGAGATACAAACCTACATGACTACAATTTTGGATGTAAAATTTGTTTTGTTTTGCTTTGCATCGCTGGAAAAGTCATTGCAAACAAAACTCCATTCGTACAGGTGTAACAGGGTTTCATCATCTTCACAGATTGGACCTGCAACTTGTGGCATCACTTTCTAGCCCCACGGAGATAGTTAATGCCTTAAGGTGGGGAACATTTCAGTAAAATAATATCTCCATGGAGGCAAGTAGGTGGAAGCAAAGTTAATGCTGTTTAACTTAAGAAAATGAACTGTATTTCACCACAGGTATTTTTCATACTTCAAGTAAACATTGCATATTAATAACATAATTTTTATTTACTTGTAGCATTTACATTTGGCTTCAGGTTCACACTGCTGCTGGTTTATCTTAATGCATTTTGATCTTTCATGTAACAAAGATATAGGGGCTGCAAAGTGCCTGTTCAGTAGACCAAGGAATTTCTAATGCCACAATATGCTAGTATTATTTGGCTATTTAGAGCACAGGACCGAGATCTAATCTGTGTTACACAGTGCAGACCAAAAGTTTGGACACACTTTCTCATTCAATGAGTTCCCTTTATTTTCATGACTATTGACTGTAGATTCACACCCAGGCTGTGTAAGGGCTAATTGACCAAGAAGGAGAGTGTAAGTAGTAAGAAAGTAAGTAATCTTTATTTATATACCGCCTTTTCACTGCACATCGGAGTCTCAAAGCGGTTTACAATTGTTATTTTTGGGAGCAGGGGTGCCAGTACAGGAGGCACATGCCAGACCTATTGTACATATTTTTAGTGGTAGGGGAAACCAGAGCACCCGGAGGAAACCTACGCAGACACGGGGAGAACATGCAAACTCCACTCAGAAAGGCCCTGGTCCAACCGGGATTCGAACCCAGGACCTTCTTGCTGAGAGGCAAGAGTGCTATCCACTCAGCCACCGTGCCGCACCCCACCGTGCCAGTGGTGGGGTGCTGGGCCAGATGACCTGAACCCAATTCAGATGGTTTTGGGGCTGGACCACAGAGTGAAGACAAAAGGGCCAACAAGTGCTAAGCATCTGTAGGAACTCAGACCATTCCAGGTCCTCTTGAAGCTCATCATGAGAAAGCCAACAGTGTGTGAAGCAGTAATCAGAGCAAAAGGTGCTACTTTGAAGAACCTAGAATATAACACATATTTTCAGTTGTTTCATACTTTTTTATTTAGTATGTACATAATTCCACATGAGTTCATTCATAGTGTTGATGCCTTCAGTGTCAATCTATAATTTTCATGATCATGAAAATAAAAAAACTCTTTGAATGAGGTGTGTCCAAACTTTTGGTCTGTACTGTATTTTGGAAGCTCTCTCCAATACTTCCACAAGATTAAACAGCACTGGACTGTCTTTGCATGTTTCATACTGTATCTTCTGAACATCATTTTCCTTCAGGTTAAACAAACAACATGTTTGCCAAGTGTGATGCAATGTTGATTTTGAGGGGTTTCCTGAAGCAGGAGGAGGGTATGCATAGATGGGTGCATAGATTATTATAAACTTTTAGTACATTGCATGATTGAATAGTAACATGAAGAGTGCAATAGTGCATTTAACTGTGCTGAGCCGTGTTTCCGACTGGTGCTCGGACTGCCACCCCCCTGACCCAGAAATGGATTAAGGGGAAGAGGATGGATGGATGGGTGGATCTGGAAAATGTTGCAGTAAAACAAAACTGTTTTCTAGCTCGTTGCTTGGTAACATAGAGATAGCAAAACAAAGCTGAGTAAGAAGAGAGAAGCTCTTACTATCAAAGTGGGCTGTTGCTGTTTCCTTTTTACATTTGTCCTCTCTGACAATGGTAATTTCATATAAATACAAAATATGAAAAGAATACTATTCCATCAAGGGATATCATTTAATCTGCCTGTGAAGATGCAAACATTTTGAATTATGGTGGAATTATGTACATATAGACCATATATTGGCCTGTTAGATATTGTCCAGGCCTATAATAGTTACTTTAAGTCAAAGCCTATAATGTATATCCGTGTCTCTGCATCTCAAACTGCCTTGACATTGCACAGGAGTTAAAATAAGACATTTGGTGATAAGGCTGACAAAAGCAGGCGAACGGCAAGTGCAGATATCAGCACAGAGTGTGATAAACCTGCAAACAAAGCTGTGCTCAGACATGGATCACAAGGCACTCATAATAACTCAGGCTGGAAGGAGATACTCAAACCGTGAGCACGAGGATATAGTCACAGGATCAAACTGAAATGAAACTTTATTTCCACTACAGCTGTGCCAAAAAAATTATGCGTGAAAGATTGCAATCTCGAGTTTGATTAACGGCAATTGTCAAAACCTGAATTTAAATTGAAATAAATGTTATGTGGCAGTAATAGCAGGAAGGGCTGTCGGAGTTTAAATCATTCAAGGTAAGCAGCATTATTTTTACATTTAAGAAAACATATTGACAATGACACTATATTTATTTTTTCATTTCATGTTTTAGAATGTGAAATAATATCTTTGTATCAAGGGCAAAACATGCATTTGGCCTGCCCTATCCTAAGGAGGTATAAAATATGATATATTATTTTTTAGACAAACACAGCCATGTGATTGTAAATGAAACATTATTTGTGGGAAATTGTTTGTGCCAGATGTTTTTCCAGGTCTGTTAATGATGAGGAACAATAAACAAAACAAACCAAAAGATTGGTGGTCAATTTTGACCATTAAACTATTCTTTTTTGTCATACATTATTTTGCAATAAAAAAAAAAAAAAAAAAAAAAAGATAACAAATTGCTTCACAATAATTATTCATCTTTTTGATATCTCATTTGCATATGTTTACACTGTAATAAACATGTTTCATTACTCACAATGATTTCCACCACAACCTGGACACTGCTATTAAGGGGTGGGCTTCCTCCGTCTTTGGCCATGACGCTGATGTGGATGACTCCACCTGGCACCCGCTCGTAGTCCAGAGGCTTCATCACACTGATCACTGCCAAACAAGCAGAAGGACACAAAAATGTTCTGGTTTTTTTGAGGGTCATACAATAATTGAATTTCAAAAATATTTCAGAATGTCTCTTAATACAAAGGTATTTATCATTTGAATTCTTAGTATTGGTCAGTCTAGTATTCGTCCAAGGCTTTTCCATTTCAGTATTTGTTCAAATATATCTAATGACTCAACAGATTTTTTTCTCTCATTCAGAAAAAAAACTTTATTTTTCCAATTATCCTACGCAATGTCAAGTAGATGCTAAAGATTTAGCCATCCTGGTAGGTTGTTCCGTTTATCAGTGTCAAAGTCTCACACCTGGGACACAGCCCTTCTAAAGACGCTCTGGATTAGGGCGTTGATAATAATCTAAAAGATCCTCAAATCACATTTTCAACTTTTCATGCATATTAAGACACAAATCAAGAGGCTCCTAAACTATGTTTTGAGAAAGAACTGAGCAAGAGATAAAAACACCAGGTGTCTTTACCACTCTTCATTTGCCTTTAACACTGTTTAGTTTAAATTATGCACAATTGATCAATAAGCATTCTTTTTAAATAAAAAAAAGAGATTTTGCCTTCTACAACTACATCTAGGGGGCAACAGTAACCAAACTAAGCCCTGAAGAAGCTAGTTGGTCGGCTTCTAAATTATGAATAAATAAGTCCAGCTGTATCTACTTTTAACCTCTATAATACATGATACAAGTTTTAAAAGTTTGTTTAAGATTGTCAGGCAATTTTTCTGTACAGTCTTACCTGCAAAGCCCTCCACCATGATGATGCTGAAGTAACTAGGAAAAGCCGAGATTGAAATCATGGTGTACGTCAAGAAGTTGTTAGGTGGAGAATCGTCATCAGTGGCCTGTGGGTGGTCAGACACTTTGGTTATTAAAAAGACATTTCCTTTTATTTTACACCTGTCTGACAGACCAAAGTCCACAGAGAGATAGAAAGTTTTTTAGTGGGGCAGATGTTTTTTTGTGGACCAAGCTTACAGCACAAAGCAGTTGCCGTATGTTTTTAAGTTTGGCGAGCATGTGTGTGATGCCAGGTTGCTGTCAGTGCGTGATGGAGTGTTATTGGACAGTTTAAAGCTTGTATCTGGCTATTAGCGACGCAACCGCCAATACTGGAGGAACACCAACTGAGCTACGACAGGCCAAAATAGACAGAGGACATATGAAGCTTGGGCTAATCCACAAAGCTATCAAAACAATGACACCCACTCATTATTAAGGAACTGGCAATAACTTCAAGATAAGGAGTCTACAAGGCCTCTCTGGCATCATTACAGGCTGGACAGCTTGTCAAAAATACTTAAGTTGAATCTCTCTATAAATCGACTCTCTTTGATTTGATGCCAAAAGAGTTGAGTAAGCAATATCGTTCTTTCAAGAGTGTGTGAGTGTTTCTATGGCACTGTCGGCTTGAATCAAACTTGAACAAACTGTATTATTTCAGACACTCGTTTACCACTCAGGAAGGAGAGAAGAGTGAGACCAGAGATAACAAATAGATGAGCAGCAAAAGAGGTAAAGGAAATCAAACTCTGGAGAGATTGAAGAGGGTTTATGAAAGGGATTTAGTTAGAAAGCACAAATGGAAAAGCAGGTGTGAGTCTCAGAGGAGTAGTTTTTAAAAGACAATGACAAAATGCTTTCTACACACTAAATGCTGAGAGGCAAAACACCATAGAAATAATGACATCTGGTCCCACAAAATATGATGACTGTTAAGCTCTTTGAAGTGCTTTTTGTAACTAAAACATATTTAGTTCACAATGGTACCAGTATATATGCAGTGGAAAAGGGCAGAGACTGAGGCAAGTCCTTTCCTCATAGACGAGGGATGTCCCATGGGCATGGGGCCTTTGTCAGGGAAAAATATGAAATAGGCTGACAACATCAAATGATTTTTCACAAAAAAGTCCAACCATTCAAAATCTACAAAAATATGCATACATATTATATACAAATATAAATATTAATTTGAGGTAAACAGTTTCCATTACAGCATAAAAAACAAATATTATGACTGAGATGGATAGGTTAAGAAACTCAAGTAATAATCTTGTCTTGAAACTCAAAGGCAGAAACGTCTTCACTGCTCTTACACTGCACATTGAAGGACGCCTTTTTGTATAATGATAATAATTTATTGTCTGGACCTATTTTTTCTTTTCTAAATTAAATAAATCCTATTTTAACTGTGTTTTCATACAATTTCTTTTGAATAGAGTTTCCTGGATATGAAAAAAAAACATCCAGTATCTTGCTTCAGTTGCCTTCACTCTCCATAAACATATGTGAAGGCTTCTTCCCTAGAACATTCTTGGAGTAACTGACCGCTGACAGACTGACAAAATAGCTGCCATTTTCCCACCTATTTTTTTTTTCCTTAGAAATATACATTTCTCAAAATCTCCCAATCGGATTTTGAAATTCATTAAAACAAATTGTTAGCCGAGCTGGCGCTACATATGAGACTTTTCGTGCATGTCTTCAGGGTTTGTTTGGATGGAATCTGATAAACATTGGAAAAACTGTGTATGGACTTGGTCTAAACATGTCTATGGTCACAAATTGGATCTGCTAACCTCCAGACAATTTAGAATACATACATTTATGATTTATGCTATTGCTACATTAGAGTGAGGATAAATTACAGTACGGGGAACATTTCTTCAGACGTCAGTTAAAGTAATAGCAGGTACGTGTTTTATTGAGTCCTTCATAGAGCAGCAGATTGCCGACTTCAATCCACACTGCAGACACACACAGCTGGTTTCCTCATTCCTCCCGGCTTCTGTATTAATATCAGTTTAGGGTTAGCGCAGACTAATCTAACAAAGCGAGCCAAGCGTTGAGACCAGTCATCAGCTCCGAACCTCACAATGTACGGGACAGCGGCGCAGCTATACCCCCAAGACATCCACAAAAAGTTCCCCTGCCCCGGGAGCAATCAGGGGAAAAGCTGAGCCATTAGTTACTATTGTGCCGGTGTGCTATGGCGTTTTCTATGGCAGTGACTGATGGCCCACGCACAAGGCGGCCACTTCCTCCACAATAAAGTGCACACAAACATATAACCTCACAATTACAGTAACATCGACAAAGAAAGTGAAAGAAACTCGATCAAAGTACAATGTCTACTCCATTGTTGTGGGCTTTGAAACTAATACACCCGTGCTTACTGCCCAAGAAAAGTTTGTGTTGGCTATTTCACAAGACTGAAGAAAATGTAATTTATTTTCCCATAAAAATAGACGGTGGAATTATGCATTTTGCAGGTCATGTTGGGTCTCTTGAGTGAAATGGCTTCTTTGCACTGTCCAGAATTGCTCAGGTCAAACAGGGGAACTGGTGAATGTAAATTGTCAAGAGGGAATAAACATGGCTTTGAGTGAGACTCTTTGGGGCCACTTGAGGTGCTGGTTTTGTAAACACACTCAACCAGACTGCAAAGATATTCTTGGGTTCCGTTTATGTGTTGTTGAGTGGTTTTCACCATTCATATCACGAGACATATTTATTTTGTAGTGAAAAGTTAATAGCAATATATAATAGTATAATTGGCTGTGATGGTTTTGTAAATAAACAATGCACTGATGAATACTAAAGTTATACAAAACTAAAATGGCAGTCTTTAAATAGACACTTTAGAGGAATCTATTTGTAGTATAAGTATAAGTAGCACTTATCAATTCAAAACAACTTATTATAGCTTTTGAATTGGAAATATCTCTCACTATGTTGCATGAAAATGTAAATATGTACTGTATAAGAACATTTCAAACACAATCATGTTTTGAAGGGAAATTCTGGACACAACGAAATAAAGAAAATATAAGAGTTTGTAATGAATTAATTGCATATAAATATTTGACCTGAGAACAGTGAGAAGAATTTTTTTTCCCATCCACGGGGCCAACTAACACGGTCACATCGGCTTCTTTGTTCACGTTCACTGTGCCACTGTGGTTTGTTGTTGTCTGAATCGAATTCATGGACGGCGTTAGTTGGTGCTGTCCGTCCACACGTAGCCAGGTATCTGCTAAACCGCAGATATTTGTCTTTGTTTGCACCTGTCATCCACATGACAACGCATCATAAACGAATATGATGCACAGGCAAAGTGAAGATTTTTGAAAACTCTGTTTATCCATTTGCGTGTAGACGGAGATAACCAGAGTTTTGCGTTTTCGCACGTCTCAAAATGCTCCAAGACCACAACAACTGAAGAAGCATGGATCTTACTGCCTTAAAAACTGTTGGCTGCTGCGAGCTGTTGGCTGCTGCGAACATCCTCGCTCCACATCAGAGAGCAGCAAAATGATCACGAAGACTCACGCTCAAAAACAACCAAAACAGGAGCTAAACCAGGATTAAACCAGGGCTGAGGACGGGGGAGACAGTGCTTGTAAACATATGTCTTTACCCTGAGTTTCTACTATGACTGTAAAAGTGCCACTACCGAAGTACTGGCGTTTGCATCAAAGCCCCGCCCACTTCTGTGTTTATGACGTCAGAGACGCACATTTTTGGAATGTTATGAATGTGATTGAAAACGCAGACGTTCGGTTATGTGTGAATGCAAATTGTTTTATAAACGGAGAGGGGGGGGGAATATTTGGTTTTGAAAAAACCCGGCTACGTGTGGACATGGCCTAAAACTCATCCAGTGAGAAACGTTCCGTGATGCAGAAATAAATATGATGAAAATGTTTTTAAAAAAATGATGCGCTAATATTGTGTAATTAATTTATATTAATTAACGCGTTAAAGTCCCGGCCCTAGAAAATATCAGAAATTAATTAAAATAATGATAATATTAGTTCTGACACATGACAGACTTCACAGGAGTATTACATAATCCAAATAACAAGATAGCAATTTAGTACCCTGGTAATAGGTTAATATATATTCAAACTCAATTGTCTTTTTTCTCATTATTAGTCATTTTCTTTTGGGAAGATCTGACAACTGTCAAATGTATTGATTTGATATTGATACCTTTATCTAATCAGTCATTTGTATTGCTAACTAGGTCAGTCACGGCAACCAGTTTTGATGGACCATTGATGCCAGTACAATAAATCCTAATATAAAGATAATTTAATTAGGGGTTTTTTCTCAAAAGCATGCGTTATTAAAATAAACAGCAGAATTAAGTTACATTTAGTCCTATAAGTCTCTCTTACTGTCAAGCACAAAAATACCCCCCAACACTATTGAACAATCTACAGCTAAAAAAAGATTTCCACTTTTGTAAAGAAAACGGATGATAAATATTAAGGTTACCAGATACACCAGTTACTGGTAACTATTGGACACCCCTGTATGGAAACCGCACTCACCCTGACTCTGGCCACTGGGATGATGGCCTCCTCGTTCTCCCGCAGTGACCCCACGTACATCTCCTTCTGGAACAGCGGTGCGTTGTCGTTTATGTCCAGGACGTTGATCCGGACGCGTCCCGTGGTCACCTCTCCTCCTCCGTCTCGAGCCAAAACCGTCAGAGTGAAACGTCTGATCAGCTCATAGTCCAGTGCGGCCTGCAGAATCACCCAGCCGCTCTCCAGGTCCAGGGAGAAGCTGGAACAAGACGAGAACGCCATTTAATTATTGTTCATTACATTTTGATAGGGAATAGTTAATGAAATGGATTTTAATGGGATGCTTCTTTCATTTTCATTTACAGCAATAAATGGAGCACTCTGTAATGTAATTTTTGGAGACTTCCTCACCGAGACACATTGATGTTCAGTAAATGTTATGTTATCATTGCACTAGGGGGGGATTTTGGCACAATTTATATACAAACAAATTGTTATTAAATTTTATTACAGACTTGAGGTCCAGATAAAAGAAGACGTAACAACAAAAACAAACATACACATTTACAGCAGACTACTGTGCAGTGACATCCCAGTTCTGATGTATCTGACTCATCTATTTGTTAACATACAATTTGATTTGAACACAAAATAGGGATGTTTTCTTAGTATTATCTCTCAACTTAGAACCCTAGAGTGATGTCATCCTTTTAAAAACCAGGTTAATGATTGTCTTTAGTGTTGTTAACCTTCTCTGACCCTTTACCATAGGCTTTTAACATTCAAAAAGCCAAACAAGTTTTTATGTTGAAACCAACTTTGTAAAAAAAAAAAACATGCTGGGTTAAAACTTTCTGTAAAATGTGTTCAGTAACTAAAATTCACATTTACTGCAGGGAAAACGCCTGTGATTATAATCTGAACATTGTTTACTTAGCATTTTAAAATTTTTACGGGTTTGTTTGATCCTAGTCTTTGCGGAAGGGAAGAAGTAAGACTGTAATTATAATCAAAATACCGTAGCATGTAGGCGTATTGTCGCTTCATAAATGGCTTAAAATTTACAAAACACCACAACCCCAGCTGTCCGAAGTGACACGAACATAAATTAACTACAATCTTGTATTTGCAAATCCGTGTAAAAATAAACCACGGTGAATCAGTAATTTCTTACTGATCTGGATCATCGCTGAAGTAGTAGCGCACAACTCCAAAAGTTCCATCGTCGCCATCTGTAGCCTGAAAAACACAACATGAACCAGTTTTATTAAGAAGAACGCGTTTTAAGTCATGTATCCTGGTGAGTGTGTGCTCTGCAGGCAACATGGATTATATGAGACAGAGTTAACCTGCACAGAAAGAAATTCAATGCCCCAGTCACTTATCGTTAAGTGGTTCATTTAATTATCATATTAATAGAGATAAAGCGTGTGCATATGTTAGCTGTTAATATGAATCAGTAAGACATTATGCCATCTCTAAGCTCAAGGACATAATCAATAGTAGCATAGTACTAAGCACTTGTTCGAGATTTGTTTTAGGTTTATATGATGAAAATGACATTGTTAGATCTGACGCCATACTAGCTCAAAAAGGAATAATTTCTTTATAAATGTGTAAATGTATTGCCTTGTGAAATTTCGCTAACGTAAGACCTTAATATGTGTTATCATATTGTCAGTGAATACAGCTTTCATGTTAACAGGGCACAGTGCACTGCGGAGGTGTTGATTATATGTTCAGAGAATCAAACAGTTCAAACACAAGAAATGCGATGATAAAAAACTCATAGAATCATTGGTCCATAAGGGGCAGATGACCACTGTCCATATAGGTTGATAAAGTCCATACATGTAGTTGAATGTCAGGTATCATGGATCATCACCACTGTCCTTAGACCCTCCTGCATCGGCAAGGAACAAATTGGAAAAATTTTCACACTCTCCTTATGTTTTTTGTTATGTCTTTAAGACACGGGAGAGATGGAGAGGTGACCAAATAGTGAAGCAAAAATGGGTTCTCACACATTTCCTCTGATGTTGTGTAAGGAACTGAGTGTAAACCTGTTTCTTCAACATTGAGATTTCCGACATACTAAATATGTAGTTATAAAAACAATGAGCCAAAGAGATCATTAAAGAGCAAAAATAAGTATGTAATATTTTCTTTAAAAGTTCTTTCCAAGAACCTCCAGCACAGTTCAATACCTCAGTTTGAGACTCCCTGCTCTCTCTGGGCTGTGGTGTGTGGGTCTGATGGATCGCGGCCGGAGAGGCTGTTGTAATAGAGTTTCACTTGAGCGGCTCTACAGACGCTGGACGTGTCTGTGGCCCGCTCTGTCAGCCCTGCGCCGGTCACTGTGATTCAGTCATGCCCCAGAATCGACCTTATTATCGGTCTCCACAAACACACAGCATGTACGTCTGCAGCTGCAGCTACATGAGGATTTTCCAGCGGTTGTAATACGCTGTGCTTATTTGCATTTGTAGAGGAATGGAACAAAGCTAAGTACATTTATGGTGTAACAGTGACTTTTTTCATCCATGACATAGACAGCCTTGCGTATACCCAGCCTCTTGAAGTCAAATATCAAAATGACTATAGATATTTTATAAGGAAGATCTAATCTACAACTTGATTAAAGCTTACATAAATAGTGTACGCACTGAGGGCTCTAATTAACAAATTACCATCTATATGTCACTAATTGTTTCATCACAATCAGTTTGTCTTCTCTTCAATGAGCCAGAATACATACATATGTATCTATACATACAAATGAACATAGGATTACATTTCTTATTTCTCTGTTCTGTCATAAACTTTTTTTGTTTTTGGAACGTCAGACCCCATCTATAAGCTTTGCAGAGCTTCAGAGTAGGGCTGGGCGATATGGCAAAAAGTAAAATCTCAATTTTATTTCCTGCTTTGGACGATGTCAATTTTAAATTGATTTTCATTAAAGTCACTCAAGACAGACTTTGCCCTTAAAATATTTTTTATCTCCCCGCTCAATATTTAAGTTTCAAAACTATTTTTAATATGTTTCCCCAATACATATTCTAAAAGTCTTGTACAGACTGTGCTGATATCGCAAGTATAATTGATGTGCTGCTGGAACTCTCACAATATCCCTCATTCGATTTCACGATTTTCACATTTTTCACGAATTCGATTTTTTCAAAAGCCGATTAATTGCCAAAATTCCATTTATTGCCCAGCCCTACTTCAGAGGGAGTCACTTTTCACAATTAACACAATTTCAATGTGAATAATACCAAAAATACTGAAATTGAACATGAATCAATGAATGGATCTAAATCTTCGTCATAAGATGCACCATAATAATATGTCATAAAATGCACCAACAATGGTGATTAAAACTACACATTTTAATAACAGCTGGATTATCATGCAAGTATTAAAAACATTATTGAGATATTACTGTACATGTATTATCGTATGTAATTATTGAGGCTACTTTTTTCACACTGTGTCACTGTTATGGTCAGTACAAGGTTTTTACTACCCACAATAGCTCTACACCATAGCCTGCTTTCTCTCTGCAACACCATGCATTTTCTCGAAGCAAATTAAACTCTTCATCTTCCCAAACTTTGCCTGAATAGTTTGTATTATTTTGTACTTTTATGTTAACCCGACCTGACATGGCTTCAGCCCTGGGGTCAGTCCAACGCTCCCTCCATCTCCTCCATCTGCTGCGGGTCCGCTGAGGAAAGTTAAAAGTCTTTGGCGAACAGTTGGCAAAGTGACTTGGCCACACTGTCACGGCATTTGTTTGGAAGAATGACTGATTGGTAGAAGAGAAAAGATGCTTATCGTGTGTCTTTATTTTCCCTCTCCCCCTTTCTGCCTAACTGTATAAATATAGGGAAAATGCTATAGCCATGGCCATATTAGCTCCCTGTCACTGCTGTCACGCTAACACCCCCAGCGCTATCATTGGAGCACTTATGGGCCTGTCAGTCACCCGGGACAGAAGGGAGAGAGGGGGGGACCCATGAGGGGAGAGTGTGCTGAGGGGAGATATGTGACGGCAGGGGAGACGGGGGCGGTGCTTAGGATGAGAGAAGACAGAAGGAAAAGGCCTTGATAAAAGAATCAGTGGTGAAGAATGCAAAAGAGCCGCAGTTCCGAGACGGGATACTAAACATTTAACTTCTGTGTTAAAGAAACATAACATGCTTCTGTCTGCTCTGATATGTGGCTAACCCTAACCCCCCTTTAGATATTTAGTATATTTGAAATCTCAAGTTAACGTTATAGAATAGAGATCCTCAATGCGCTGCTCACACGACCATTACGTGTATATACAAACTTGCTGGATTCATGATATATGTTGTATTTATTAAAAGCAACATGTATCCGTGCCTCTCCCCAGTCATGTGCCAATGCCTTTAACTGTGTTTTTTAAATCATAAAGAATTTATTGTTTTATTAATATGCAGGATTTTGATATGTACACCACCCTGACCCTTCTCTCTCACCCTCGCAGATTAACACACATACACTGTATGTTTCCCTCCTACCGCTTCTGATGTTTTTAATCCAAGTTACAGAAAGTAAGTATAATTTTTTAAGACCTAAAGTAGCTACAAATATTGCACACATTTCCTTACAGTTGCTGAAAATGGCGGAGAGAAAAATATGTGATAAAAAAAAAAACTAGAAAAAAACCCACATAATTAGCTGTGATAAACTAATGGTCACAAAAACATGGTCAAAAACATGGTCAAAAGCAGAATTGATTTAGCATGTTGTTATGTCCCCTTTAAAGGGCAACATCAATGTGAACATGAAAGAGATAAACCAATGCTGTGCTACATATTACACAAAAAGCCAAATGAAAATTTTTAGTTTTTTTACTGGTGAGAACTGAAAATATGTAATCTGTCACAACAACAAAAATGAAAATCTGCATCTTGAGTTAATGTTTGTGATCCAGTCTAGTTTTGAGGAAGCCAATATGGTCTTTGTCATTCCAGTGAAGAAGGCAAAAAGAAAAATGCACTGCAGCACGGAAGACTGACAATAAATGATGAGGTCACTGAGACATGGCAGATGAAAACTCAAAGGTTAATACCAGCACCTGACTGGAGTCCCAATCACATCACATGTACTTATTGTCAATGGATATAGGCTACTATGTCCTATGGTTGAGTTGACACAAAGCGGTGGCCATTTGGACATTTGAAAGTCCATCGATTGACCATCCAGGATGCTGTGGTGTGTGTGAAATTACATACCTGCGATAAATAGGCTGGGCTAATGTGGAGAATGAGCAGGAGACCAGAAAACAGCAGCGATGGCAGCAGCCGTTGGTCCATCTGTGAGAGCCACTGTCCAAACTGTCCATAGTGCTGGCACGCAACACAAGCAACGCAAGCACATACTGGCAACACAATGACAAACATTTAGGAGCTATCACAGTCTTTGTGTGTTTGTATGTTCCCAAACACACAAAGACTGTTATTCACTTATTTGTATCTAGCTCTAAAATACTTATTCTAAGTATGGTATTACCCAAATATAATAGGAGCTGTGAAGAAGTAGCAGAAAACATTTAGCTTCGGCTCCTTCCAGCTCAGTATCTAGCATCATCCTATGAACTGTTGTCCTAAATTGTTTAAAATATTATATGTGTGCATTGGAAAATCTCCTGCAACCGTATATAAATAAAACCTGAAGCTGAACCCAAATAGCACAAAGTCCGATGATGGCTTAGGTGCAGCACTGAGATAACTCACTGCTCCTGACAGGGTCAAGGCCTTGCATTAATGCCGCATGAACATGTGGTGTTGGCTACATCTAAAAATCAAAATAAACATGAAAAATTAATAACCTATAAGATCAGGACCAAACCCAGTCTAGAAAGGAACTAACTAGGACAAATGAGAATGCGCACAAAACCAATGCACCACTTCCCCCCAAAAAAAGTCCTGCTTCTCTGTTTTCCACAGGGCCACTTTAGTCTTATTTTGATCCTCTCTCTTCAGCCTTTGGCCTAGCTTTCAGATTTCTCAGCGACCCTAACTGTAGCTGCCATTTTAAATAACTAAGAACCAGCGATAGCTGCTAACCAGCTCCACAAACAAACCCCGCAATCCACAGTTCTTGTGCGGCTGAAATTATTATTATTATTTACAGTATGAACTTGTCTTGTGCACTAGGGACTTTTGCAAATGTATTCCAATGTGGTTTTACTGCAAAACTCTCCTACGTGAGATAAATAAAGCACATCTTATCTTATCTTATCTTATATCTCACATACTTCCTACATATCAAACATTAGAGCCATACAACATACTGAAAAGTCTTCTGAAACCTTACCCTGATAGCAATTGTTTGCCAATAGCCTCAAGAGCCTGTGCATGCGTTTGGTGAGTGAACTGCTTAAAAGAGACCCTGCCTACGCTCACAAAAGACAGGCATAAAACAAACTAAACAAAGTTCATAATTATAATAACATCAATTGTTAAAAGACAACACTTGACTGACAGCGTAATCTATTGGGTGATAGACCGTGGCTTGTGTCTTTAGTCCCAGTGCTAAAAGGCGCCGCTATCGCCACTCTTATCTGAACCAGCCTAAGTTGATAAGGAGTTTCTACAAAGACTGGGTGCAACGTTGATTGCCAATATAAAGTCTGCAAACCTCTGGGTCCTCAGGCAGTAACTACAAAAGCGAAATTATTTCTCAGTTGACCAGTTTGGTTAAATGATGTGTTTCTTCCCATCAGAGGAGGTGAAGCCGGCAGCGATTGTAGCTCGTGGGTGCATGGCGGTATGTGTATGGTATGTATATAATGTATATATGAGTGTGTGTGTGTGTGCGTGTGTGCATGTGTGTGTGTGTGTGTGCGTGTGTGTGTCTGTCTCATTTGTGCTTGTGCTAATGCAGCTGTGACAGGCTGATATGAGGGCTGTGCATACCCACCATGGCACGCATAGTTAGCCAAACCAAACCAATCATAATAAGAAAGTACAAAACATTTAATATTCTCAGATATATACAATGCACACCGTAAAACTCATGCGCTATGTAGAGTAGGGGTGGGAACCTAAGGGTACCTCACGATACGATACGATACACGATACAAAGCTCACAAAAACGATAATATCACCATAACAATATCACAATAAAGATTTTATCACGATATGACGATTATTGATATATTGGTTAGAAATATACAATATGCCAATTTATGGCATAAATAAAAGAAAAATTACTCTTTATTTCATGATAAATAGAATGGAGATACGTAATGTAGCCATATATAAGTATTGATACTAATAAAAAATAAAAATTGATATCGATACTTGGTAAATGCATATCGATAATCGAATCGCGGGAAAAAGTATCGAAAAAATCGATATATCGTCACACCCCTAATGTAGAGGATTCAATAATGATACAGTTATGAATACAATAATCAATATCCCTACTTGCAGAAGATTTCATTTTAACTGAATGAAAAGTCAATTATTATGTGAATGCATTTTAATTATACATTTTTGCGGTAGGGAATGCACTGTATGTGCGTGTTTTTAATATGTTAAAACATTGTAGGCCTATGATTGGTCATTCTGCAGCATCACAGTTTGAAGTCAGAATAACATGCATTATTAATTTTCTCATTTTAACGCATACACACCGGCCTGGCCTTTGATCTAAAGTTTGCAACCTAAAACCTCTAAATATTTTGCTATGTTTGGATCATTTTTAGCTGTACCAAGTTTTCCACCTTTACTGAATAAATCAGTATTTTAAGTTAAATTGCCCTTCAAAACTTGGGCAAAGATAGAATATTTCAACCAGCCAAAATAAGCCTTTGACGTTAACAACGAAATATGGGACGGTTGACAAATACATTGGTCCCTCGTTTATCTCGAGGTTACGTTCTTTAAAATAATCCACACCTGAACTCACAAAGGCTGAAGTGTGATCAAGGACATATGAAACCTGTTTGTTATAAATCGAAGCGCTGCTGCAGCTGTCAAAAGAGGACACAGCGCTGAGGGGCAGGAGCAGGACTGAGAGCAACAGAAAGACAGCGATAGTCTATCAGGTTATATCATGTTGTTGGAGTGAAAACACATTGGATGAGATGCCGAGCTGTAAAAAAAGCACAAAAACACTACTAGGACCAATGATCTATTTCATGCAACCCAATGAACACCACAAACATACATTAATTCATTCAATTTAATTCGCAGGAAATGTAATAATAAGAATCACAAAGAAGTTGTTGGCCAATGGGGAAGCAATGTCCGGAAAATATTCATAAAAGTATATAAATCCTGATCATCATTGTCCTTTCACAACAAAGACAACATTCTGGTTTCAGCCCATAGACGTGATCAGGCAGCCTCAATATTTACTCTCTAAACTTGTATTATCGCACTCAATTGCTTTCTAGAGTCGGTGGAGATGAGAGCCTCACCTCAGCGCGACAGAGAGAATGTGTGTAGCTCCACAGGGCTACAGCAGATTATCAGCATAGCCATCTCTGCAACCGCCGCGGAGGTTAAAGTAGCACTGGCTTTTCTATCTTGAGTGAGCAGGAATTTGAATTGATTGGCTCCTAAAATTGCTTTTTCTGTAGAAGCTTTTGAGAGGTGTGGAAAAGGAAACCAATTACTGGCTGTCAAAACAGAGATGACCCACAGACCAGCCCCCCTACGATTCACCTAAACACAGCCATAGAGGAAAGACAGAGCCGGCACAACACAAAAGGAGCAGTGAAGATGTCCAGGCTGACACTCATCCAGAATGGAGGCAATGATGAAGACACGCTTGTCAGGTTGTGTCTACTCAGCTCTGGTTAGCAGCTCTCCAGAGGCCACTTCAAAGACCCAAACGTCTGACTTGCTTAAATTTGCAGAACACATTGTACAGATCACACCCACCAAAAGGGCAACACATACAGTAAACAATATGAAGAGAGAAATGGATTTATGTATATGGGCCAATAGTGTTCCTTTAGGTTAGGGTTCTGTATAGACTGCATATTAGGAGTGGACTAACCAAGTGCTAAAATAGTTTTTTTTGCAGAATTGGCAGAATTAATTTAAACATAAGCTAGCTGGAGCCAATTTCTGTATGCATTTGTTCTGATGGGGTTGCTAACATGATTTCTAAGGAAAACTGGAGATGTATTTGTAAATGAAGGCATATGATTGGTCAATCCTTATAACTCATATCTGAAACTTACAAAACCGATATAAAAATAAAATGAGCTAGAGTTTAAGTTTGATAGGAGCCTGAGCGAGTTGGTGCAAAACTTCGCCCATGAGCACTTCCCTATTTGGCATATCTAAATATGTTTTCTTATTTCTCCAGCACATCCACATATTACGGGTATTAGTATTTAGACAGTTTTATAGATATTGGATTTTAAAAAGGCTATTATATTTTACTCTAAACTCTGTCTTAATTTGACGCTAACTCTTTAAATGCAATTTTATGGGAAATCTTGTGTCTACTTTGTTATTCTTATGCGACTGCAGCCAATTTACTAACTAATTCAACACAGTCATTTCAAATCAAATCAAATTATGTTTGTATCGACCAAAATTACAACAGCAAGATTCTGTGTATGTTTGTAGTAGGATTGCAGAAAAAAACAATGATGGATTTGTGTTGTTGGCAGGGTATGCTCTCTGAGTGCAATATGATGACTTCAAGCAATAATATAATGTATCTAATTGTGGATTTTTGGAAAAAATGAGGATTTCTCTGTTTGGGATAAATTTAATAAAATCTGCCACTGCACAAAAACAGCAGCGTGGCAACATTTGTACAAAATATTAAGGTTTTCAATGATCTCATCATGTGTTCATCCCAAACTGCTCCAAACTATGAAGGGAGTCCCTGCAAAATACTATTAATACTGATAAGTATGAGAGGAAAGCTGTTAAATAGCAGCACAATCAATAAAAAGCGGTTCTCTGCTCCATCAGAGAGTGAAATATACTCGAAGTTAGACCTAATGTTCACCCTTTGTCTCTGTGAATAAGTGGTTGACAGTCCAACATGAAGCGTAGCTCCCCTTGCAAGCATTTTAACAATTTTTTTTCAGCTCTGGTCCGGCTTAGAGCAGCTTAGTGGAGCAACATACAGTATTGCACTTGAGTTGCATAATACAATCCCTGTATATTGTGCAGTTGTTGAGCTGTGCAAAGAGAAAAAACTAAATAAATGTCTGGTCGGCCATTGTTTACTGTTGTATATCGTTAAATGTAAGCTCATTGGAAACAGGCTAAAACACAGTCTTGACTTCTATATGTTCTGTGCTTCTAGCTTAATATTGTGAATAGGTGTTTGTAAGCAACCCAATTTGATAATCACCACATGTTAA